TAACAATGACTTGGCAATATTTCTAAAATAATCGAACATATGGCAGTACCAACATGTGTATCAAAATGCCTAGAGCAAACACAAATTATCCAACACATGGCATTTTCAACACATGCAAATTATCCATCTATTCAAATTATCTTGCACTGCCTACAAACACATTGTAGTTTCTACACATAGAAACACATCGTAGTTTCTATTCAAACTCCTAATTTTACCTACCCAGTCAAATTCATTTGGCCTACTCACTTCACTGCTAAACTGAAATCCTAGAGATGCAAATCAAATCGGGAGGGGATGAACTCATAGCAGTATCAACATGTGTATCAAAATGCCTAGAGCAAACACAAATTATCCAACACATGCAAATTATCTTGCACTGTCATACAAACAAATTGTAGTTTCTACACATAGAAACACATTGTAGTTTCTATTTAAACTCCTAATTTTCCCTAATTCGAGTTCTTTGCCAAACTGAAACCATATAGATGCAAATCAAATCGGAAGGGGATGAACTCATCGATGATTTTGTAGAAAGCAAAAAAGAAGGTGGAGGGGATGAACTCACCGACGACTTGTAGTCAATGTCGTGGAGGGGATGAACCCTAGAAGTCCATCATTTCCACTGACATCACTGAAACCCTAGTGATGCAAATCAAACAAATTCAAATCAAATGAAATCAAATGGTTCTAGAGATAGGGCAGCGAGAGAGGGAGATTTACATGTTACCTCACCACCGGAACCCGCCAAAATCAGAGGGCAACAAGCGGTGATGGAAAGGGGATCGAGAGAGGAACAGAGAGAGCGAGGGCAGAGACACAAAGGGAGCGACGGCTGAGAGAGTAACATGAGGCGAGGGGGGCGTTGCCCCATTGGTTTTCACCCCCACTGCCTCCTAAGAAATTATGGGCTAGGCCCAATACGGAAAGAAAGTAAATTTAGCAAAAACAAAGAAATTTCTCACTTTAACAAAAGCAATGCAATATTTTTTACTTTACTAAAAACAAATAAAGGATTTAAAATAATAATAACACTTTAATAAATTACTTAATATTCAAAACAATATTTTTAATTCAATAAAAACAATTAAAATAGTAAATATATTTAAAAATGTCAAAATTTCCTATTAAAATAATATAAATTTAATAAAGGTAAACTACAATATAATATAAAAATGTTGACCACCTACAAAAAAAATAAAAGGTAAAAAACTTGATGTCTCAAAATATAATATAAGAATTTTCACATTGACAAAATAATAATGTTGAAGTTTCATGTTAATATATTAAGAATAAATCATTATAAATGAAAGTAATTCCAAACATTAGACCCCACGTCGTATAGTGCTGACTTGGCACCCCATGACACGCCACAACTAAACATAATAGTGTTGTCGTTTTCTATGTTATACCACGTCACCACTATATTACGCCTTGAATAAACTGTGGGTCCCATATACATGTGACGTTCAACTATTTTCCAACGCCACCACTATGTCCCTAATAATGTCGTACCAAATAAGCCAACACACCACTTTGGAAAAATAATGTTGGGGTTGGTTGAAAATGGTGCGCCATCAACGAAAGTTGTGGCTAGTCATTTTTCCACTAGTGTATAAAGTAAGCAGGATGAAGGGGTACTAGGTGAAGGAGGATGGGTTGTTCAATATGTGGTTGGCCATATCTGCGGACTTTGTAGGCAAGGGCGGAGGAGGGCATGGAGGTAGTGGCCTTCACCGGGAAAGGAGATGAGGAGGGCATGGACCCGCGTCACTAGGGAGGGCGGCTTTGCGCGCTATTTCCTGTCCCCCTCACTTGTTTTCCTAGGAACAAAAGGGGTAAGTGGAGGCGAGTGAGATTTTTTTTTGCGAATACGCAAAGCTTGCGTATCATTGCATTGACAGAAAGAACGTAGAAAAGTACATAAGAGGGTACAACACATAACACAGATACATACATGAGAAGGCATGGACATGGGACCTGGAGCAGAGAGACACACGATGTTCAACCCCAAAAAAGAAAAAGACCACAACTAAACCACCAAGCCAAACCCAGCAGAGGGGCAAGCCGAACTGGCAAAACGCCAAACATCTCTAAATCCAACACTGGGAACGCAACGAGCAAGCAAGATGGCGCCCTCAAGAAGGGGAGCGTCGTCGTGATGTCGCCGCCATCCGATCCAAAGAACCAGATCAAGGGTCCCCCTTGGTGCTCGAAGAGGGGCACAGATAGAGGCCATGACAGCGCCTCCGAGAAGGGAAAAGACACCCGCGGGTGACTCGCTGCCAGCATCGGCGAGCCGAGGAGGGATTTTGCCCTAGCCTAAGTCTGAGCAATCCCATTGCCGGAGATCAGAGTCCAGAGATGAGAAAGTCACTTTGTTGGTCGAGATCACCACCTCATGAGAGGATGGATGGTTTGCGCGTGCCGCCGGCAGGTGGCACCCGACGACGTCGAAAGACGCGAGCTTTGGGATTGGCACGCCGTGGCGGTGGATGGGGTCGGAATGTGACAAGGCAGAAAGAGCCCACGCGGAGGACAGGATCACGGCCGATGCCACTGACAAGCTAGGAACCGAAAAGGAGCGTAGATCCAAGCTGCTAGGGACGGAGCCGTCGGGACGCAGTCAAGCCAAAGGCTGGAGAGACACAACAACTGGACTGTCGGGGTCGGAACCACGCCCGTAGAGGGCGGTTGAGAACGCAGGTCCATGACCGCCAGGACCGGAGCGGTGCCGACAAAGTGTCCACCACGAGGCCTCAACCACCCGCCAGAGAAGACCACCTTGACCACAGAAATCGGCCGGAAACAACACTGTAGCTCGAAGGAGGCGTTGCCGAGATGAGGAGTAGCCTGCAACCTGGGCAAGGCCAGAGCCTCTGCTCGCGTGGCCTCCTCCACCATCCAAGCCGTGCTCGCACCATCAGCATCAACACATGAGAAGAGCGTGCTGTTGAGGGAGGAGATGGCCAGGGGAGGAGTAGAACGAGCTCGTGCCGCCACGCCCGGACGAAGGACGTACCAGTCGGAGGGAGGGGTGGGGGAGGAGCTTCGCCAGATCAGATCTAGGCGGGCGGGGCCGAGCACGCGGGGAAGACCATGGGGTGCAGCTGCCGCGGCGGATCCGGCCAAGGAGGGGACAAGCGTCGTCGGAGGGGACGAGGGAGGCGGCGTTGGAGAGGGCGCGATGGTGGAGCGGCTCTGACCAGATCGAGGGTTGGGGGAGGGGTCCTGGCTTGAAGAGGGGAACGAGACCGCCTCGCCGCCACCTTCCCTGGGCGCGGCGCGCTTCGCCAGCCGGCCCTCTGGCGGCGGCGCTGCGGGGAGCGACTGTGTAGAGCGGAACTTGGGCGGCGGCGCTGGTTTTCCACCGTGTTGCTAGACACGGGCGACGCGGGGGACGAGGTTGGCTCCTTTATGCTCAAAGTCGAGCGGGGAGGTTGCGAATTCGGGTTAAGGAAGGTGGAGTGAGGGAGCAGCCCGGTGAATATTTCGCTATGATGCTGAGACTGAATACCGAGACCCGTCGAATTTGAAGCATGTCCATGCTCCATGAAATCGAATAAAGTTGCGACTTTTTCTTTGACGGCCATGCATGTCATGAAATCGAGATGATGTCGTGAATTAAGAGCGAATCCCACATGTAGTAGATTAACTCCATAGTATATTGTTGACTCATGAAGTTGAACTGTCTACAAAAAAGTTAGAGTTTTTGCCTCCCGCCGCCGCCGCCGCAGGTCCGCCTCCTCTCCGGTGGCCCTAGGGCCATGGGGACGCGGTGGATCTCGGCAAGGGCCGGCGGGAGGGCTCCGTTTTTAGTCGTTTCTTTCAGTTTTGCTAGGGTTTGTGTCCTGCTGAGGAAGACGAGACGGCGGCGGCTACCTGAAGATGGAATAAAGGTCTCCCCGCCTAGTCCCCGTTCCGGCGGCGCGTCTAGCACCGTTGGTGGGCGTGTGGAGGTGTGTCTCCGGCGGATCTATCTTTGGTGGATTTGCTCGGATCTCGTTGTTGTTCGTCTATGTTCGCGTGTCTTCGGATTGGATCTTTCTAATCTACGTTATTCTTCATCTGCGGCGGTTGTTGTTCTGGTGCGCTGGTCCTACGGGGCCTTAGCACGACGACCCCCCGACTGTCTACTACAACAAGTTGTGCCCGACTCCGGCGATGGAGGGGCGATGACGGCGGCGCCTTCGGCTCGCTTCAGTGCTGGTAGTCGTCGCTAGGTGGTCTATGGATCTGGATGTAATTTTTATTATTTCTGATATTCGTTGTACTGCCATGATTGAAGATGAATCGATCGGAAATTTTCTCGAAAAAAAAAGAAGTTGAACTGTCTAATGATGGTTTGCAGCAGAAAAAATGTCGATGGAAAATTGAACTCAAATTCCCGCCACGGCTAAACTCCAATGCGCGCGCGTGGGCCGAAACCCGTCTGCTCCCCGCCCGCCTTCTTTCCGCCACGTCAGCGATCCGTGCCAAGGCGCATCTGGGTCGTCCATCGCACACCGCGACGGACGGCCGATATCGTATCGATCCGTGGCACCCATCCATCAACCAATCAGAGCCCGCCTCCCTCCTCGTATAAAAGCTGCTCCGACTACGGGAACCACAAGGAAAACGGAACACGAGCGGGAAACTCGCCGCGCCCTCGCCGGTTATCCACCACAATTCTTCCCACGTTCCAGCGAAACCACGCACACCACACCAGAGCACCTTCCCCCGTCGCCGCCGCCGCAGCAGCAGCAGCAGTATCCATGGCGCCGAAGGCTGCCGAGAAGAAGCCGGTGGAGAAGACCCCCGCGGTCAAGAAGCTCAAGGCGGAGAAGAAGGTGCCGACGTCCAAGGAGGGCGGCGAGAAGAAGGGGAAGAAGAAGTCCAAGAAGAGCATGGAGACGTACAAGATCTACATCTTCAAGGTGCTGAAGCAGGTGCACCCGGACATCGGCATCTCCTCCAAGGCCATGTCCATAATGAACTCCTTCATCAACGACATCTTCGAGAAGCTCGCCGGCGAGTCCGCCAAGCTGGCGCGGTACAACAAGAAGCCCACCATCACATCCCGGGAGATCCAGACCTCCGTCCGCCTCGTCCTCCCAGGCGAGCTCGCCAAGCACGCCGTCTCCGAGGGCACCAAGGCCGTCACCAAGTTCACCTCCGCCTGATTTGGCACGTCGTCTGTGTCTTCTTTGGCAGATCAGATCGATGGCGCTCGCTCTGTAGTTAGCTGTTCGTGCTATGTCGTCTTGTAACTTGTGCTGGTTCATGATCTGGAGAAATAGTAACAGCGCTTATTTCGGTTCTTTCTATGATCCTGTTTGTGCTACTTTCTCTCGGTTGTATTGGTTGTGCAAGCGCGCATTCTCTATAAATCGCTGCAGACGGCGGAGATATGAACTTGCCGAGATGTTTCTGACAAGCACCAGGTTTCAGTTAGCTGACGGAAGTGTTGATATCTTCAGACATAAACACAGCGAGTTCTTGCTTTGATCCCGTTTGTGCTACTTTGTCTTGGTTCGATCTACTTATTATTGAAGCTCGCGTTTCTCTGTAAATCTCTGCAGACAACGACTCCGAACCGGCAGAGATGTTTCTCTGTTGGACTATGAACTCTGAACTTGCAGGGCGTGGGGTGGTGAGTCTATTTCACTTAACTGACGAAAGTGTCGGTATCTTCAGACATAAACTCAGTTCGACCTTCCGCCTGCTCGCTCAATGGCTTTGATCGCCTGAAACGTCACTGTTGCTCATGCAGATATTGCCGTTACTGAACATCTCTGTTCCGTCATGACGTCAAGCGCTACAAACCAAAGCTTATCCAAGTAATCACGGCGAAATTGGTTTCTTTCTAGCTTTGTATGCTGTACAAGTACAACAGGCGGCTTCAGTTAGAAGCACAAGTTAACAACAAATGAACACGCCGATCGTACGGTGATCGAACGAGGAAAGAATTAGCCCCACACGCGCGGGCGCGGCTAGACCACGAGCAGCTCGTGGTTCACCGATCAGTGGCACACGATGGTCTCGAAGCAGTCGATCCCATCGAACTCCGGCGCGAACCGCGGCCGCAGCGTTGGCGGCGACTGTGATTTCCCCTTGTCCGGCTGCCGCTCCGCCTCAGCCGGCAGACCGCCCTGCTTCCTATCTTGCCCTGCTGTAGCCGACGTCGCCCCCGGCGCCGGCGACGTGCTTAGGATGGAGAAGGCCAGCACCTTGTCCATACTCGATTCGAGACGGGACGGGGATGATTCCAGCTGCAGCTCCGGTGGCCGATGCTTTCTTGCACCCGCACTCGCTCTGTGTCTTTGCTCCAATCAATCAATTGGCTTTGCTTTGCTTTGCTTGCTTGCTCGGGTTGGTGAAGGGAGAGAGGGGACGGGACCCGGCTTATATACGGCGGGGCATGGTCCATGGAGGAAGTTTTGGGCATGGCGGGTTCTAGCTAGCGCTGGAGGAGCCAAGAATACTCGTGGACGCGGCCGCGAGGGAGAACCAGTGAGCCAGCTCGTGACGCACGCGGTGGCGTGGTGGAGGTTGCAACCGTCTCGCGGTTTCGCCCGTGTTTATATTCTTTCCCTCCTGTGCTGTCTTCTCTACCCGTGAAAATTGACAATTCTGGCCATTTTTTCCCCGGTAATAAATCTGGCCTTTTCTGAAAGAGAGAATTCATTATTTAACACTGATTTTTTTGGCCAATTTGACACTTGAAACCTTTTTCTTCCTCATTTAACACCAACTCTAAAATTCATTCCTTTTCTAATACTCCCTCCATTTTGAGTACTAACGGTTTAAATGACACCTAAAAAGGCGATTTTTTACCCCGATGCAACTTTGTGATCAAAAGTATTCACATTACTAAAGAAACTAGAAAAAATAACTTTTTTCTGTTGTTAAATGCAAAATTAGGCAGAACCTCCCTGGTAAACATGCATATCTTGGATTTAAATTATTTCTAAATTTAGTTAAAAAATTAGGCCGAACGTCCCCTGTAATTTGATGCAATATCCCCCGACAATTCACATACACATAATTAAACACACAATATTCAAATTTGCCAACGTCACGAGACATGAACATTTAGGCTCACATCCAAGTACACATATATGACTTACAACATATGTCACGCGTTGGCGCAACCCACGGGAGCAAGAGTTTTTTTTTCCTTTTCTGCATGCCTTTTCGTGTTTTATGGTTTCTTTGCTCTTTGCCTTCTTTTTCTTTTGGTGTTCAACTTTTTCTTGGCTTTCCCTAGGGTCCGGTGAAAAAAAAAATTGCAAGCAAAATTGTGCTTCTAAAAAAGTGAAATATGAGAAGCATGGATTTTTATTTTTATTTTTATTTTTTTCGAGCAAAATTGTGCTTCTACAAAAAAGGGAATTATGAGAAGCATTGATTTTCTTCCGTGAGAAGCATCTCGGGAAAGGAAAACCACAACATGTGCTTCTGTGAGCACAAGATGTACTTCCCGGGAAAAAGGAATAACACAACCTGCTTCTACGAGAAGCACAACATGTACCTCGCCGAAAAAAAAAGTACATCATGTGCTTCTAAAAATTGAAAAACCGCAAAAACATGTTTTCAGGCTCCGTTTTTTCTTCTTCCATTGTTTCCTGTATTTTTTTGGTTGCGGGATTTTTTTTCGTTTTTCTTTTCATTTTTTCTTCTGATTTCTTCATTATTTTTTTTGGTTGCGGGATCTTGTTTGAGTTGAAAGGATGGATTGTTGGGATCTCTAGTAAAGTCCAACCATACCTTCCCTTTTGCAGTCTTCTTTTTTCCTTTTGTTTTTTCTTCTTTTTTGTTTGTTTGTTATTATTTTTCCTTTTTAAAATTCATGGCATTTTATCAAATCCATTACTTATAATTTTAGAAAAAATGATGAACATTTTTCAAATTTGTGAATCTGTTTTCAATTCCATGAATGTTTTTCAAATTCATATTTGTTCTTTAAATTGATGAATATTTTTCCTTATTAACGCTCTAAAGTTTATGTCCATTGAAATTTGTGTTTTCATTTTTTCTACTGAAATATATACCCTTGTATTTTGGTAGTTTTGCGGAGTACCGATGGTGTCCTTTTTGTACATATGAAACCCTACAATATCTTTAGAGCATGGAGGAGTTCGTTTGTGCTGCCAACCCTCACCATATTATGCAAATATCATCGACTTCACCATCCATGAGTGCCAAGTTGTAAGAACCCCAGTATCACACTACAGTGATCACCCATAGTTAATGCCATGTCAGCAAGTTTAACAGTGTCTAAATCATCATTTGCATCATATTGCATTTCAAACTCCTAATTCAAACTTCAATTAAATTCAAAGTGGAAAATAAAATTTGTTCAAATCAGAAACTAAAATGTTCATTAAATGAATAATTTAGAGGCAGTTATAAAATTGTAACCAACATTTTATGGATTAGTTAAGTGACTCTAACAACCTGAAACAGTGGCTAACAGCACCAATTAATAACCTTATAATTAATCTAAATTTAATATGGAATAGTATTTTACCCAAACTAGTTTTTGATGCTAGGATATATTGCAATACAATTTATGAGCTAGCTCCGGTATTTTATAAAAATCATTTAGGTGATAAACATTTTGCAAATAGAAAAAAAAACAGAAAACAGAAATAAGAAAATAGAAAAGGGCCTAAGTTCTACTATGCACTTAGGCCTACTAGCTACAAGTGCGGCCCAGCCCACCTGGAGTTCCCTCCTTCCTCCTACTGCTCATCCGAGCTCGGTGGCCGCCGGGCACTCGTCCAGGCCGCAGATGGCCACACGACGACCATCTGTCGTGCCCCCGCGCGGTTAAGGCCACCCTCGACCCCCTGGAAACCCTAGCTAACCCCAGTCCCCCCGCTCTCTCTATCATTCCCGCTGCGAGCTTGCCCGAGAGCTCGCCGCCGCCGCCGCTCGATCACGCGGCCACCGTGCCCCGATTGCCCCGCCGACGTGCCCGAACGGCACCCATACGTTGACTACGCCGAACGGAACAAGCTGGGAAGCCTCCACGCTGCTGCCATCTTCTTCTCCTTGGATCGCCGCCGTATGTCGCCATCGATTCCGGATGCTCCGTGCCTCCCCGAGCACACTGCCACTTCCCTACGGCTCCTGGTGAGCCACCGTGTCTCTCCCCTCGCTTTCCCGCACGGATCCATCACCGTAGCCGCCATTGCTATCGCCGCTCGAAGCTCACTCCACAGCGGAGCTCGTCACCGTCGTCCTCGTCGATGTCGTGCTCACCCGAGCTCGCCACCGTGCTCTAGGACTCGCCAGGACCCCGTAGAGCCTTCCTAGTAGTCCTGCCGTGCCCTCTAGCCGCAGTTCACGCGAGGGCCGAACTCCGGCGTCCGCTCCGCCACTCGTCGTCATAGTTTCCGGCCGTTTACGGCCGCACCGCCACCGTAGATGGATGTGGCGTTGAACGTTCGATTGAACAAGCCTAAGCACGCCCGAACGGGCCACTGTAGCGTTTTTCCGGGCAAGTCCAGCGACGCTCCGCCACTGAAATGGTCGCCGGCAATGCTCCGACCGCCACGCTGACCTGGCGCCGGTAGGTCCCGCCATGTGCCACTGACTGTGGGCCCCGTGGGCCCGCTTGACCTCGTTGACTTGGGTCAACGCTGACTAGGCGCCCTTGTGGCTATGACATGCAGGCCCCACTCCATTAAACGGTTTAAAATAAATACATAATTAGGTAATTAATTAATTTAGTTAATTAAATGGCTAAGCACCTGCTGACAGTAGGCCCCACACAATTATTAGTCTAATTAGATTAAACTAACCCCACCGTTAGTACACTGTCAATGACATGTGGGTCCCACTGGACCCACCTGTCTGGTTTGACTGGTCAGCCAATCTGTTGACCTACTGACGTCAACATTGCATCATGCTGATGTCATAATTCCCTTTTCTGTTAAACAAGTAAATTCCAGTAAATGTTAAATCTTTGAAAATTCATAGAAAATAAACCGTAGCTCGGATCGAGAAACTTTGTACATGAAAGTTGTTCAGAATGACGAGACAAATCTAACTGTGTCGTCTGTTTCTATGTCGGAACCATCTACGGAGGTGAACCCCTAAATTTTAGCCCGTTTCTGGTAGATGAATAGTGCCTATACACCGGTTCATAAATCCAATTTAAAACCTAAAATATCTAATATGACTTAGACATATCTTTAGGCAACCCTGCACTGCATGTTAGCATAGCATACTCTATGTTGCATATGATTACTGTGTATTTATCTATTTCTTCCCCCTCTTCTCTCCGGTAGACCCCGAGACCGATGTTGTCCCTGTGATCGACTATGTCACCGACGACACCACTGAGGACCCTGCCTTTGCTGCTGAGCAACCAGGCAAGCACCCCCCTTTTGAGCATACCAATATCACCTACTCTATTTCTCTTATGCTTGCATTAGAATCTGCTGCTACTACTGTTATCCTATTTCTGCTGCATAGCCTGTTTATTGTAACATGTTGTTGTTACCTACCTGCCTATCCTAAACTGTTTAGTATAGGGTGGGTAGAGACCCATCAGAGACCCCCACTTTATCCCGGCTGCCCCGCTAGATTATTAGAAGACCCGATCAACGGGATCGAAGACGAGGCCCCGACACCGCACATCACTTTCCCCTTAGTTGCTCATGACTACTGGGTTACTATCGAGTGCCGAGGGTGATACCTCATCAGCACTTCTGATGTTAACCTTGTAGGTTAGTTCATCGGTTATGGTCATCGAGGGTGATTCCTCCTTCTCCACTCCCGATAACGACACTGTCGTGCAACTCCACAAGAGTGGACCTCGAGGGTGATTCCTCCTTCGTTCACCTTGACGATAACATCAGGTGGAATTCCATCAAGGGTGATTCCTCAGGGTTCCCCTTGGTGTTAGACACACGGTTACTATGGTTACTATGACTTTAGACTGAACCATGTTACTAAAGACGAGTCGGCCCTGAGGGGTACCCGCGCGAGCTTAATTGCGAGTGATGTGGAGTCAAGTTGACCTGGAAGGTGCCCGCAAGTTAATGACGAGGCATGGCCGGGCATTCTTAGCCCTTGCCGCAAGTCCTCGAGACGGGGCGACGGGGTCACCTCGATCGCGAGTCTCTGCATGTTACCGCGCGCTACTAATCCACTACGATTTGGATATTTGATCCGACGAGCCTCTGGCCTAATAGCACTAACCATCACATGGGCATAGTATGGG